CCTCATTTTTGTAATTTGGCAGATTTTTGTTATTTTAAGTCTTCTCTTTCTCTTTCATGGAGCCATTTTTCCAGTAAAATGTTAAGTATTAGTATGTTCTCATGATGATAGGTATCTTTTTGCTTTTTATGTGGGAATCCCTTGAGCACTTTTTTGTAGTGTTGGTCTGGTGGGGATGAATTTCCTGTTTCTAATTATCTGAGGTAGGCTTTAATTTTTCCTTTTTGATAGTTTTGCTTCATATAGTATTCTTGGTTGACAGGTATTTTTCTTTCAGCATTTTCAATATACCATCCCACTCTCTCCTGGTGTTTTAACAGTTCTGATAAATCTGCTCTAGGCCCATTGACATTTTTCTATTGCTGTTTTTAAGATTCTCTTTCTTATGAGGAATGCATAGGTTCCACACTTCTCTGAATATGTCAGAGGGGTGGCTGTAATATGTCAAGATGGTATTTGGGCTATTGTAGCAGCTTAAGTTTTGTGTGTCTGTATGAAGGGGGCAAGATGGATGGTTTCCTTCTTTGAATCAGAGCAATCACTCTTAGACCAGCTAGCTAGCTAAGTTAGATTAAGGACCATGGAATTCTCCTGCGGTCAGGACTGCCAGTCTGCTATGCTTGAGGTTGCTGGCATTTTCCTACCTTTTCCCTCTGTGGCCAAGGGGCTGAGGTTGAGGCTGCAATTTGCTTAGTTCCTTTCTCTAGGCGGCCATTTGAACTCCTCATGCTATTCTGGGTCCCCTGTCACTTCTTTGCTCATTTTCAGATTCTTCCTCAATAACTCTGCTCAAAATATAGTTTTCCCTTTGTTACCTGGTTCTTCTCTGTGGTAGAGGAGGTACATAAGACACCTCTTCAACTTAGATGCATTCTATCTACATTTTTATAAAGAATTTTACTTAACTCAGGTAGAACTTCTTTCAAAAGTAAATTCTCTCAATATCTTTACAAAAAGAAACAGCTGTTACATCACATGTAGCTCTTATATATTACTCTCTTCAAGTGCAACAGATTTGGAGGCACAGTTGTCACTGTAAGTCAGTGGTTGCAGAAGGATAGTCATTACCTTGTCAAAGCATAATAATTAGCATTGCCCAAAACTTGTTAAATCAGAGCCCCTGCTTCTGTTTTAACAATCTGTGTTAAAAGCTCTTCGGGTGATTTTGGCGTACACTAAAATTTGAGGCTGATTTTCAAATTTAACTGTTCTTAAGTAACCAGGGAAGTTGTTACATAATAAAATCCTGGATCCCTGGCCAGATCTATTGAATCACTCTAAAAAGTGAAGCTAGGTAACATGCTTCGTAAATTCAGTCCCACTGACACAATTCTGACACAGGTGACAGGGGAATCATGTTAAGAACTCATGTTTAGGGTGGATCCAATTGTCTAGCAAACCTTAATATAACTGATGCCCAGGCCACACCCCACACCATTTAAGTCAGACATTCCAGGCACCAATATTTTATGGAACCTAGGCACCAGTATTTTAAACTGATTTTAATGTTTGGCCCAGTTTGATAACTAATGCTTTTAGAATGCATTAGCAAAGGATAATAGCAAATGGAAGTGTAGCACTGTGAAAAACACCAGACTGCCATGTTACTAAGTCTGTCAAATTATTAAATCTGTCAGTTTTTCATTTGCATAATTGTGAAAATACTTGAAGATTTTAAAAATTAGTGCAAAGCAACTAGCAGTTTCACTAATGCATCTTTTATGAAGATTTTACCTTGATTTATGTGTGAAATTCCTTCCACACTAGAGAAAAACAAGCAGCACCTCCCAGAATATTATATACAATACTTCCAAAAACTTATGTTGGGTAGAAAATAAAAATAATGCGAGGTTATTTAACTTGTTTAGCAGTTTCATAGCAGTTACGCTATGAGAATCCTCACTTTTCAGTTTCATCTACGTTTTGGCACATGTTGGAAAAAAAAACTTCATGGACATAGAGTTTCACCTATGTGTCTCCTTGATCCAATTTCTAGCATCAATTCAATTTCCAATGGTCTTTCTGAAAAACTAGATTTAATTTTATCAGGAATGTTCTGCCATCTGGTGGTGAAATGCAGTAATGGCAGGCTGTGTGATTAAAGTCGAGGGAGAAAAAGAAACCAATCATCTTACAGTTGCCTATCGAGGAGAGATGTTGTAGGGAGTTTCGAGTAACTATTAAATTAACATCCTCTCTTTTTAAGAAAACAGAACTCACTTTATAATCAAGACTGAATAATTGCTTTATTACTAATACCTTTTTGAAAAGAATCAGGCAATATTAAAATCTGTATGAAAGGTTTTTTTTCTTTTTACAAAGTGGTATTTTTTGTGGGCTCATCAGTTTGATACCTTGAATGGTCAAGGAAGTCACAGTGTCTAGAAATCCATGAGAAAATATTACTCTTGCCATTGAAGTGTTTTAAAAATCACATAAAAAGGAGATTCATCTGAAGTCCATGAGATATATCACTTGTTTGCACTAAATTATATCTACATAATTTTATTTTTATTTATTTTTATTTATTTATTTTGGTACCAGGGACCGAACTCGGGTCCTTGCGATATCTACATAATTTTAACTTTCAGCAAATGGTTTAAAAAACAGTAAGCTAGGACTGATTTAAATTTTCACTGCAACAACTTAAGAAAATGTCCATAAAGCTAATCCCATGTATCACACATACCTAAAAAGGCAACTATGAGGTGATAAAATAGGCAAATGAGCTTGACTGTATTTTACAGTGCATATGTGCATGAAAACATCACATTGTAAACCTTGAATATATACAATTTTTTTGAATATGTATGAGTAAGGGTTGGAGGAGTTAAGTTCATAAAAACAAGACAACTTCTATATCATATTGCACCCAGTAAGTTTATAACCTGTCATTTTTAAAAGTCTTTCTTTGTTTTCCAGTACCAAGGATCAAACTCAAGACCTTGTGCTTTAGAGGCAGGCGCAGTGCCACTGAGCTAAATCCCCGGCCCTTTAAAAGTCTTTTTAAAAAAAACTTCTCCCACTGCTAACAGCTGCACACTCAAATCTGTCTCTTTTCTCCTTAGAATGGGCAGTCGAATCCATGTCTACCCAAATGGATCCCTGTTTATTGGCTCAGTAACAGAAAAAGATGGTGGTGACTACTTATGTGTGGCAAGAAACAAAATGGGAGATGACCTGATCCTGATGCATGTGAGCCTGAAGCTAAAGCCTGCCAAAATTGACCACAAGCAGCATTTCAAAACACAGGTGCTCCATGGCAAAGATTTCCAAGTCGACTGCAAAGCTTCTGGCTCCCCAATGCCTGAGATATCCTGGAGTTTGCCTGATGGAACAATGATAAACAATGCAATGCAAGCTGATGATAGCAGCCATAGGACCAGAAGGTACACACTTTTCAATAATGGAACCCTATATTTCAACAAAGTTGGGATTGCAGAAGAAGGAGATTATACTTGCTATGCCCAGAACACCCTAGGAAAGGATGAAATGAAGGTTCACCTAACAGTTATAACAGCTGCCCCACGAATAAGGGAGGGTTACAGGACAACCATGAGAATCAAAGCTGGAGCCACACCCATTCTTGACTGTGAGGTCACTGGGGAACCCAAACCAAATATATTTTGGTTGCTGCCTTCCAGGGACATGATTTCATTCTCCAGTGATAGGTACATATTTCATGCCAATGGGTCTTTGTCCATCAACAAAGTGAAACTGCTTGATTCTGGAGAGTATGTATGTGTGGCCCAAAACCCCGGTGGGGATGACACCAAAATGTACAAACTGGATGTTGTCTCACAACCTCCACTAATCAATGGTCTGTATACAAACAAAACTGTTATTAAAGCCACAGCTGTGAGGCACTCCAAAAAACACTTTGACTGCAGAGCTGAAGGGACACCGTCTCCTCAAATCATGTGGATCATGCCAGACAATATTTTCCTCACAGCCCCATATTATGGAAGCAGAATTAAAGTCTATACAAATGGAACACTGGAAATTAGGAACCTGAGGCTTTCAGATTCAGCTGATTTTGTCTGTGTGGCTCGGAATGAGGGAGGACAGAGTGTGTTGGTGGTACAATTAGAAGTACTAGAAATGTTGAGAAGACCAACATTTAGAAATCCATTCAATGAAAAAGTAGTTGCCCAGCTTGGAAAGTCCACAACATTGAATTGCTCTGTTGATGGTAATCCACTGCCTGAAATAATCTGGATTCTACCAAATGGCACACGATTTTCTAACAAACCAAAAAATTCTAAGTACCTCATAGCAAGCAATGGTTCTTTTATCATCAATAAAACAACCCGAAATAATGCAGGAAAATACCGGTGTGGAGCTAGAAATAAAGTTGGATATATTGAGAAATTAATTATATTAGAGATTAGGCAGAAACCAGTTATTCTTACATATGCATTAGGAACAATAAAAATTACCAGTGGAGAGTCCTTATCACTGCATTGTGTATCTGATGGAATACCTAAGCCAAATGTTAAATGGACTACACCAAGTGGCTATGTAATAGACAGGCCTCAAATTAATGGGAAATACATATTGCATGAAAATGGTACCTTAGTTATTAAAAAAGCAACAGCTTATGACAGAGGAAATTATATTTGTAAGGCTCAAAATAGTGCTGGTCATGCACTCATTACTATTCCAGTAATGATTGTGGCCTATTCTCCCCTAATCACAAATCACCCACCCAGGAGTATCCTCACAAAGACAGGAGTGGCTTTTCAGCTCCAATGTATGGCCCTGGGAATCCCCAAGCCAGAAATCACCTGGGAGATGCCTGGCCACTCCTTGTTCCCAAGGGGAAGTAAAAGGAGAACCCTTGAAAGTGAAGTGCCTCACCCACAAGGTACCCTGGTTATTCAGAATCCCCAGACCTCAGATTCTGGGTTATACAAATGCATAGCAAAGAATCCACTGGGCAGTGATTATGCTACAACTTATGTACAAGTTATATGAAATGAAATAAAATGTAAATTGAACAAAGTCAACATCTGAACAGTTTATTTTTTGGAAGAAGTTTAAGCAAAGGCAGCCATAGGCATGTAAATGAATTTGAATACATTTACAATATTAAATTTACAATGGACATGCAAAAAAGACATCTAAATAAATGCATTATGAACTCATACTGATTTCTTTAATAGATCCCAACATGAACTTTTAACTTAAGGCACTTTTATTTTGCCAACAAATAACAAACATTAAGAGAAAATGGTCCACAATAAAATAACAAATGGATAATGCACCTGAATTTTTCAGTAACAAATGGGCATTTGTTTTTCTTTTACTACCAGTTGCCTAGTATCCATCTTCTATCAATGTTACAAGCATGGCACTCAGAACAGAGACAGTGGAAAAGATGAAATTTGCAGTCTTTATGTAAATTTACCACCTTGATTTATAAATAGTTTATCATTGGCTTAAAAATATTTCCTAAAACCTACCGAAAACTGAACTGTTGATTATGACTTATTATTTGTTCACATTAAAAATTTTCATTGATGGGGAATATAAAATGTTTTAATAACTGCATTTAAAAATAAATGCAGACTAATTTTTCCACATGTAAAAAGCGACTTAGCCACACATCATAAAATGTGAAAAGGGAGCTGATTCCATCTTATGTCTAAATATATCCATTAAAACATTTTAAAAATACAGTGAAGCTCCTTTATAACTTTAAAATCTAGCTCAGGCATTCCTGGTTGGGAGTTGTGTGTAAAGAAAGTTTTGTGAGGAGAAATCTTTGCTTTGTGAACATTCATTTCATTAAGTAATAATTCTTTATGCACGGAACAAATGTTTGGGAGAGTCTGGACCTATTACATATAATGAAGTTTCACTGTATTTAAATTTTGATTATCCCTACAAAATGCTGCTTTTTGTAATTGACTATTTATTGCACATGCCTAATTCAATTTTGGAGACATCTTTTCTAATTCTAGAGGCTGGATCTTTCCAGTGTAATTTCTCAAGCATTTGTTCAAATACTCACCTATTACTTTAAAATTATAGCCTTGTAAATAAATGAAAAACTAATTTTGTTCAGAGAGCACAGTTCACAAAAACTGAGAGCTCTATTAGCCCCTGTCAATCATTTAAGATACAAGGGAGAACTCCTTTCAATGTGTTTGCATCATACCAACTTTCAGCCAGCCCCGTCTTGAGAGGTGACCTGATTGCTACTAATCTTACTACCCTATGGCTGCAAGACATCAAAGAATTCTCATTGTAAAGTGATCCCCTTCTATTTCTGGACCAAAAACAGGTAAATGAAACAACAAAAGCAACCCTGTTTAGAAATAGCCTACAGTGTAATCAGGTACTATTCCTAAGGCAGTGATGGCAAACCTTAGAGCTTTCAATGACAACCAACAGCCCACTGTAGCATGGGCGCCATAGGTTCATGACCACTGGTGTAAGGGATTCTTATATCCAGGAATTACAATAGGTGTAACTCCAATAGATTTGAAGGTCTTATCTTTCAGGGGATCTGGGGTCTCCATTTTATTCTAAGAAAATTTCCTCTCTGCAACTCACCAAACAAATTACCAGATATTGCTACAAAGTTTTGCCTTGTGATCACTTTAATGCAAATTACTGCATTCACTAGAAAAGAAAACAAAAAAAACCTCTCAGGATAGAGAATTAAGTGGGAGGCAATATGATGAATATATTAAAAATTCCAGTTACTTTCCTTATAATGCGCTGGGGAAAAATAGCTCTAGGTGTTTTTCTAAGCCTTCCTTAGCAACTCAGAGTTACAGGTTTTGCTATGACTTAGCTTCTTCACCTTAAAAAAAGAAAGTACAAAACAACAAAAGTATATTCCATAGCTTTTATGTGCAAAATGATTAATAAATTAACTCCTGCAAAATGTAAAGTGCATACAAATGCTATGCAATTATAACACTCATTCTTGAAACAGTATTACTGCTGTTCGCAATATTGAGCTAAAAAGATATGTGGTTCAAACTGAAAAATGGCATTTTAAATACCAATAATTCTGGAAACCAACAAGGACAGGACATGACTTGTTCACTAGGCGCAACATTCACTTTTCGGTTGTTCTGCCAATGAGTCATATTACTTTGAAGTAAATTAACTTCATGAACTATAAGGATGATTCTTGAGAGAATAAAATGCTGATATACAGCTGAAACTTAAAAGACGCATTTTCTGAAAGCAGATAGAATATTAATTTAGTGAAAAGAATAGTCTTTAATGTTTTGGCAAAGTCTTTTCCAGCCCAGAGTAAACACAAAATGAGCAGGCTGGAGTGAAATATTTTCACAGTGTACAAAGCAGTTCACATGGATGTTGCCACAGCAAAGTAACCTGACATGTATTTGAGGTCATTTGCATGAGTCAAACTTTGCAATGAGTAACTCACCTAGGGAGATATAAATTACTTGTATGATGATTTGCAAAAGAAATTATCTACTAAAGTTGCCCTAGCTACATTTCAAAAAAGGTAGATCTACATGGTTTGCTCATTATAGACAAATCTATTCACAGTATGCCTAACTACATTACAAGTAAAATTATATAAAAGAAAATGAATTAACACAGAACATGGGAAAATATCCCCCACATGTTTTAAAATGCCCTGCAGTTTTCACATTCAAAATTTTATGCATCTAAATCTAAAAAAATATTATATGGAATACTCTTAAGTTACACAAACTGATAATTTACTGTATTTTTTTACTCTAATAGGAGCAAATTACCACATACTTGAACAAAGTTAAAATAGTTACTATGTCTTTATAATAAATTTGATGTATAATTTACTTTACTTGTGCTTTTTGCACCAATTTATAAATACGGTATATGTAATACACAACCAAGACTGACACAGGAATATTTAAATTCAAAATAGCAAATACTTACCATACAAAATAAACAGCAAATACACCTTTTATGAAAATCAGAGCCTTCTGGACTTTAGTGCCAGAGTCTCTGGAAACTATGTCCAGTTTGAGCACTGTAGAATCTCAGGGCAGCTGCAGGATTTTTTTCTTTTTTTCTGAAGTTGGCATAAAGTTCTGGAGAACCTTATGGACAGAGTCATTTTGCCAAAACTGGCAGTAAATAAATAGAACAATTCCATGATTCTTCTGGGCCTTTAGGATTACATGTTGTACCTTCACAAAGACTCTGGCCAATGATCTTGTCACTGATAACAAATTCAAGTGCAGTTACTTCTAATATGTTTCCACATTTCTTAGGGTGGTTCTCACAGACGCCTTGGTTGAAGAAGTTTAGGTACTAAGCAACAATCTGTTTCAGCACCTTTTGACCACAACAAAAGGAAAGTCCTATATAAATAAGAACAAAGTTTATAAAGTGCTTATGAAGTTACAAATATTTCAAATTAGAGTGATGCAAATAAATGTTCATTTCACCATCACAGGTGAATGCAGAATAAATGGGTCCTGTTCCTGTCAAGACCTGACATGACTTTCAAATCAGTAGTTTGGTTCACCACAGTATGTTAAGAAAAATAAAAAATAAAAACTTCACCATTAATGAACACATAAATATTTAAACCCACCATAATTCATTCTTCTCTAAATATAATAATCAAAGAAAAAAAGCACCAATTTCAAAAGGTCTGCTACCATATTCTTCTTGGATTAGGCCTGCATGATCCACCTTTTAAAACCTACTTTAAAGTTGAATGTGACAAAATTAAACCACAGTTTCTCTTTTACTTTTCATTTAAATACCTTTGTATGAAATTTAGCATAAAATATGGGAAAATATCAAAGAACTAAAAGACCAAAGGGACATTTCCAGGATGACTAATAAATTAAATTTGATTTTCTATTTTTCAGTGCAAACATAAAACTGCGTGTCTTCTCCTCCAGATTCAGAAGTGTGAAGAATGTCCATAGGGAGCCACTCCTTGCTGTGGCTGATTACCTAATGAGAAAAAATAAATTCAAATAAAATTAAATGTAAAATTATGCCACAAATAAATGCTTAACTCTTGTCACTGCTCAGTAACAGCCTTGGGTACAGGGGAACAGACCAATTGGCCATAGTAGAATCCTAATCCTGAAAGGTCCTGGTGGCACGATTCAAGCATTGTCACTAAATTTACTCTGTAGAGGGGGTCATTCCACAAGAGAATCCCATACCTACCAACATAAGGCCTTAGGATTAGGGTGACCGGCCCACCCAAAGGGTCTCTAAACTAAGAGATAACTCAGTATTAATGTATTAACTGAAAGTTTCATAAAACATTCAAAGTTCTCAAAAGGTTTACAGAAGCAAGTCAGAAATTCTGTGTTACCAATGACATTGTAGTTGGTGAAAATTATCTTGTAACTCACCAATTACCTACAAATGGCCATAAGATATATAAGAAAACTATGCAAGAGCACATGTGTGTACAAGAGTAGATGCTATGAATGTCCGGGTTGCTCAAGTGTGCACCTACACACATATGCATGCATACATATATGCACAGGCACACAGAGAAAAATGACAGTCGACATCAAAACAGTAGACACAGCTACTTCTTGCATTACTCTGGATTATCCAAATTCAGAAGTCTTGCTCACATGCACCACATTACAAAAAGAACTTTCTGAAATTGTGTGGTGGCATCAGCTCAGGTGGCTCTTCAACCAAGGAGGTTGGCATAACTGCTAATACCAAGCAGCAGAGTCTATACTGTGGTTAAGAGGTGGACTCTGGAAGACCCTCTGAATTCAAGTCCCAGCTCTGTCCCTTACCATTAATTGAATAACCTTGGGGAAATCAGTCAATGTTTCTATTTTTCAGTTGTTTCCTCATCTATAATATGGGAACAGTAATAATACCTGATCTCACATGGTTGTTAAAGAAATAAGTGAACTAATACATGTAAAGTCATAGTGTCTAGGTCCAAGAATGTACTCCATAAATGACAGCTTAAAAAAACACTGCATCCCTTGGTTTCTGGTAAACAGTGAAGAGTAGACAAGCTCCCCCAAAGGGTGCTAATACACTAAAATCGTAAGTACTTATTTCTAAACATTAGAAAACAATCTCTGCCTTAAGGTTATATTTTCTTCAAGAATATGAACTCTGGAAATAATAAAATACCATGAAATTTTAGTCACACAGATCAGACCTATTAAATCATAGGTAGAAAAGAAAAAGGTTGATTTGTTTGATTTAACTGAAATTAAATGAGGCTACAAGAGAAAAAAATACTTTTAAAGAAAAAATTGAAAGATTTTAGGTATGTCCACTGGTAGAGACACCAATGTGTTGGGGTGGGGGGTGAGCGGGTTCCTCTGCCAGGAAATCAACATGCACAGCAGCCAGGGGGAAAATGAAGACTCAAATAAAGCTGCCCTTAGGCCTAAACTGATAGCAGTCCTGATGATATCAATGGGCTACCACACCCGTATCACTGTTTTCAGCACAAACTGGTCTTCATGCTACTGTAGAAGCATGTGATCTGAGATCCAGAGTAAACTGTTAGCCTCCCTAACAGCACACATGAAAAAACTACATAATCTCCGTGATAGTGGCCACACTGACACCAGAATTTACATAACCAGATTTCTAGGCTAATATTCTTTGCTTCTCAGGGGGCTCATTCCCAGTGTTGAAAAGATTGCCTGCCCTATGACTACAGCATAGAGTAATTTGAGTCACAGGAATGTACTGCTGCTGTTAAGGTATAAAGTATGATGAGAGAGTGGGCTGCTAGTATGTGCTCTAGAAAGGTAGCAAATAAGAGAAAATAATTCACACCAGCACAGTAGGTAAGATTACCGGGAAGAAAACACTGTTCTGCCATCTTCCATGCTGTTTGCAATACTACAGGGTTTGATTTCTCTGACTCATTTGGAAGGATAGGATGATAACAGTGGGGAGAGCAGTCACCATTTAGTGCTGGCCTCCGAGTACCTGAGACCTTGGGAGGCCAGCTAACCTCATTCATCTGTATAATGAGGGCACTGGCTGAGCTACTCCCTGAACATTTCCAGCTTTATAAAAAGGACACCTGGGATTGGTGGGGGGCTCTCTGTGGTCCAGCACTTGCCTGGCTTGCAGAAGGCCCTGGGTTCAGCACCACAAAAACAAAATAAAACAAAAGGACACTTGCAGTTTTACAGGGGTCCCCTGAATGAAAAGAAACATTTCCAAGTTCAGATGGAAGAAAGAGGAAACTATTATTGCTGAACTTTTTTAAAAAGTTGGGACTTTTTCAGGAAAAGAAGTATTGAAGCCTAAATCCAAATAAACTGAGACATGATACTAACATTGTGAACTAAAGCACACATGGACATGGTACCAAAGAAAACAGTGCCACTTTTGAGGGATCACCACTGTGCTCTGCTTGCTTGCTTTTTAATTTCCTAGGAGCCGTCGGCTCAATGACAAACAGGGTACTTACTAGAAAGCTGCTTCTGGAGCTGCCGCACCAGGGCGGCTGTCTGCTGCTGCTGCTGGGTCTGCTGCAAGCCTTGCCTGGGAAACTGCAATTGCAATGGGAGAAAGGATGGAAGTCAGCCCATGGTGCTAATCACAGGCAAGAACAGGCGAAAGCCTGGGGTCAGACATTCTGTGATGCACTTTTACATACATCAAGATAAAAGGGCCATCCATGTCATATATGCTCTGGTGTACATCGGGTAAACACCTGTCGTGCACCACCTGTCCAGGTGAGCTGGTGTTTATTTGAAGAATCCTGATAATGGAGTCCACTCTCTAGAGGTACCCAAAAAGTTCAAAGATCACTGTCATCTTACCCTTCACCAGTTGGCTAATGAGAATCAATATATCATGAGTAGCTTTTGTTAGCAAAATGAAAGCTCTCTGGTGAGAAGATTTGTTGAATTCCTATACACCTTGACAGCATGAATGGGAAAAAGGAATCTAGAGAGGCAGAGCAGTGCTAGGTCCAGGCTCTTGTGAAATTCCCCACCCAATGGAAGGTGAAAGTTGGCGATACCCATCCTTAGTATAATGTGGCCAGTGCTGGGGCAGGATGAGGCTAAGTGAGGCACCAAGAGTGCAAACTTTAGAAAAATGATCTCTCTCAGACCCTGCAAGTGACTGCAGAGGTCCCAGGCACAATATGGGTGGCCAGTGCCCTGGTTCTATCTGTTCAGCTGGCAGAAGAAATTGTGATGGTTATTCAAAGAGAGAGTTGATGTCTGGTAGGAGTAAAATTATTTTTTATTAGAATGAATGGGCATATCAATTTACTTTTTCCTTAACTTTCAAATGCCAGGCTGTCACTTTCTCCCTTTTCTTTCTTTGCTCTCTTCTCCTCCCCAGCCCCTTCTGCCTGGCTTATTACTGTTGTAACTAAGGAGGAGCTTCTTAGACAGAGGCTCATCAGGACTGTGCTGTTCTCACCATCCATTAGGTGGTGGCCTTTGGCATCCGACTTTGGTGGGGAAAGGGGGCACTTCCAGGAGGCCGAGATACAGTAAAGCTATGCTTTAGTTTTGTCAGTTTCCTCCATGTTGGGGCTCGCTGGCTGAGCACATCCTGAGTATCCAGGGCAGGAAGGCCACAACCCTCTTCACCTCCCTCTTCTGCCTTAATGGCCTTAGAAGACACCATGCCTGTGCCATATCCCCAGTTAGTTTCCTAGTCCTGTTCACCTCTTTGAAGAGTTTTGTATTTATAGAGTATTTTCAATTACCCTAAATGAATGCAAAATCTATTTGCTCCTCAGCTTGCCAATGACAGAAAATACCCTAGGATTATAAGTAGGGTTGCCAGAAAATAAAAATACAAAATATGCAGTTAATAAAAATTTTAGATAAATGAATATTTTTCTAGTTCTAAGTATGTCTCAATTCATGTGACATGTACTGAATTTAGTGTAAATATGTCCAATATAGTATTTTGAACACTTATAATGTTACTGTTTACCTGAAACTCAAATTTAGCTGGGAGTCCTGTATTTTATTTGCCCTCATCAGTGGGCATCACCAGGTTGACTTTTAAAACTGAGTGTCTGGAACAACAGCAAGGTCAGTTGCTTCTCTTCCACTAGACAGTGAGTGACTCAAGACTTGGTTGGGATCATCCATTCAGGTATCCCTTGTATCTCACACTACCAGGCACTCAATAGGTGTGCAGTACAAATCAGTGCAATCATTAATTCTGAAGCGCCATCAAGTCCCACAACCTTATTACTAAAAAGATACACATATCTGACAAAATATTCCCTCCACCACTGTCACTATTTTTCACAATAAAAGGCAGGAGAATCGCAGCTTGCCTTTCTTCTGTTGCCCAAATACAGAGGGAAAAACAATAAAAATCTATCTGTCATTTACGTTGAAAAATAAAAGTGCTTTTCTTCTATTCAATTGTTTCTGTGCTTATTCAGAAAAATCACTACATTTATTTAACAAAAGCTTATACAATACTATGTGCCAAGTATTACATACTGGATATTATATATATGTATTAGCACATTTAATCCTGATGTGGTAGTGACTCCTCAATCTCTTATCCAAAGTCATAGGACACCTGTGTTTTGAAATTCAGTATATAGATGGTTCACTATAAAACATTCATAATACACAGACCAAGCCTAAGTGTAAGGCAGCATGCCACAGCAAACATTAAATTTCTGCAGCAAAACACATGAACAGTTACATCAAGTAGGATCCATGAAAAGAGCCTTGTGTCCATTCAGGCCAGCTTTTGTGAGTTATAAGTAATTCTTTCATTGTCAGTGGCATTTGAATTTGGGGAACATATATAAGGGAGTGTGAACTCTTCCTGCTATCATTCTCATTTTACAGATGAGGAAACTGAAGCTCAGAGGGATTCAGCAATTTGCCCATAATCACTGTAGGTATTGGGGCTGGGTTTCAGACTAAACTTTATGGATCCAGAGTCCAACATCTTAACCACAATCACCTAGCTCATCCCCACCCCCATGAAAATACAACTATATATATTTATGGGGTAAAATGTAATGTTATATGTATACGCCGTGGGACGATTAATCAAACTAGTTAACATATTCATCACCCTGCATATTTATCATTTCTTTTAAAATCTACTCTTAGCAATTTTGAAGTACAAAGTACCTTATTATTAACTATAGTCCCATGCTGTAAAATAGATCACCAGAACTTCTTAATTTGACTTTGTAGCCTCTGGCCAACATTTCCCCATATACCCACCACTCCATCGGCATATCCTTCAGTGGAAACACTATCTTCCAAATATTAACTTATTTGGGAATAATTCTGAATTCTAAGTATTTGGCTGCAAAGATGTCTAAACTGATTAACTGGCATACTAATGCATACAGCGCATAAATATTGAACATTTGTACATCCAGCAAATGCTTAACTGCCTTCCTTCTGTTCATTTAAAACCTGCTTCAAATGGGACAATTCACAGAATGAAATACTGCAGTGATCTCCTCAGATTCTATACTTTGTAAGCCTGGCAATAACAAGGTACCTAGAGAGCTCCTGTCCTTGTGGGTGTATGTGTGTGTTCTGGGAAGGGGAAGGTGTCTGCTGAGTGACTTAAAGAGCTTGGTGTAGGGCTGGGGATGTTACTCAGTGATACAGCATTTGCTTAGTATGTGCAAGGTTCTGAGTTCAATCGCCTGTATCACAAAAACAAAACAAGCAAATAGAAAAAGAGACAGAACATACTCAGAGTGTTTCAAAGGGTGATCCAGGGACCTCAGGGGAAGTCAAGACTGCCATGTTATCTAAAAAGTCAAAAACATTTTCATAATAATAGGAAGACATGAATTTGCTTTGTTCACTTCCATTGTCTTCTGAGTGTAATGCATAGTTTTCCTCAAGCTACGTAAGGAATGCTATTGCAACAAATTCAATGTATTCTATTCAGTCAAGCATTAAAGGTATTTTCAAAAATGTTATCATTTTTCTAATTTTTTCATAAAAATACAATATTTCTGTTAACACAATAATGGGTATTTTAAAATAAATTACTAAATGTTGCTAATATTTCTTTAATTGCTAAAATAGTAAATACTGATATACAAAAGTTTCTTGGGTCTACAATAACTCTAAATGTTAAAGGGTTTTGAGACCACTTCTTTAATACTGACCTATGGGAGTAGTGGGAGAGCTAGTGTTATCACCTAATCCTTCAGGCATATAGAGCAGGGACTGTTCCTGAACCATCAGTGCTGTGTGGTCCCCTTGATTATAAGCATATGGGACAGCCTAGCTAATGCCTTTCACCAGCACTTTGGCTTCTGAGCTTCTTGGAGGCAGAAGCTATGCCCTGCTGTAACCAAAAGACAAAACACAGCTCAACACCATAAGGTGCAACCAGCTGGTGTAGCATAACCACTCTCCAGGAAACATCACTGTTTGCTCAACTTAAAAAAATAAAGATGGATCTTTCAATCTGTTTTGAAAAACTCATTTATTCAAGAATATTTTCATTCTATGATTAATCATTACTAAGGCAAAAATGTGTGATTTACTAGCAATTTCTTCCTAAATGTCATTATGATTTTTTTTTAAATCTCAGAACTTTAACTTAACCTTTTAGCACCAGAAGCAGACACTACTAAATCAGCAACTGGGATAATTTGATGATGGGCCTACATAATAACTCTCAGGTGATTTAGACATCTTGCCTTTGAAATACATTTTTTCTTACAGGTGTGATGAAAAAACTTACTGCTATCAATCGGCAAATCAGTCATTTGACAGATATTTAAAGAATCCAGGTACTTTTCTGGGTTCCAGAGGCACCAAAGTAAAGACCATCACTGCTCTTACAACAGTTGTGAGGTTCCTACTAGCTCTTGCTGTGATCACACTACCAGTGTGCAAAACAAGGCAGCAAGGCAGCATTTATATTAATATCAATGGTGTCTTCATAAAACAGGGGGATTTGTGGGCCAGGGATTTAGCTCAGTGGTTCCACCGCCTGCCTTGCAAGCGCAAGGTCCTGAGTTAGATACCCCGTACCAAAAAACAAAAAAACAAAACAAAACAGGGGAATTTGAACACACATATGCAAACAGTGAGAACCCTACCAGAAGATAAAGGAAGAGTTCATGGTTCTACAAGCCAAGGAAAGCCAAAGATGGCCAGTAAACTTCCAGAAGGCAGGGGAAAGGCATGAAAGAGACTCCCTCAGAGCCTGCAGAAGGAACTTACCCTGCTAATATCGTGATCTTGAACTTACAAGTCCTGTCTCAAATTGACTGGCAATACATTTCTGTTGTTTATGTCACCCAGTTTGTGTACTTTGGAAGGCAGTTCTACAAGTTAATACAACCTCTGAAGCCATTCTACCCAAAACCCAGTACCCATATACCACTTTCCATGCATAGTGTGGATATTTAACCATTTCCTACAATTCTAAGTCCTCTGGAAGGAACATGCACGGTACTTTCTCGGCCTTCTCCATAACATCTGGGAGGGTGGCAGTCCCTACTGCATATGCTGAAATAAGCTCTTGTTGAATTCAACTATGAATTTTCCCTGTCAGCAGA